TCTGCCCACCCACGGGTATCAAAAATATGCTTATGCAGTCGAAATAAACCAGAAAAACAATCACTTTAATTTATGCTGCTTGTATAGCAAAAGTGTAAAAAATGATCTATTAGTGTGATTCTGTGTTGCAAACACTATTCACGTGCATAATAATATGTTAATTACAGTTGTATTGTGATAGCAAGCTGTGTAACTGAACTTCAGAAGGAGGGCACCTATCACATAGCTGAAGCGTGTTCGTATTGCTCATGACTGTATTATAGGCATACGATACGTACACCAATTCCAAACAACGCAGTCACAAAGCGTTGAAAACAGTCTTCACACTTGGGCACGTTTCATAGATAATTAAATGAACTCACACACACACAAGAAAAATAGACCAAATTACAAGAAATTTATGGCTTAAATTACACGTTTCACATCTTTTTTTTATGTGTTTATATTAAGTGTAGAACTGATTTTTTATAATTACACACAAATGTAATAATTTTGTGGCGAAATCTTGTTTTTTTGTGACTTTTGTTTTAAAAAAGCATACACAGATTTAAATGATATTAATTTTATGTTTAGTCTCGTTATATTTTAGCTAAATTAATAGTTAGTACTTTCATCCTGAACGACACCCTAGTGTATGACACGTGGCCTAAGCGGTAGGGGTCAGAGACCCAAAAGTTCAAGCACGATAGTCATAGTTTGAAATGCAGTGACGTTGTTAGTTGATTGTTCAGGTTAGGTTGTAGGTTAGGAATCAGAAGTGCTTCCTTTTTTTATTATTAGCATTCATCTTTCACCGAGTATCTATTATTCTGAAGTGTTCACTGTTCGGTTTTTCGTTACAGTCTTTGCTTAGATGGTTGTAAATTCCAGAGTTATTGAAAGGACCGTTATGCGCATGCTACTTGTTTCTGGTAGCTAAGAGCGGAGCATGTTCCGCAGCATATTGTAGCGCAAGACTCGGACATTTTAACCTGCAGACTGACACGCTAACTATAGGCCACGACCACCGACCTAGTCAATTTTGTTTCAGAACATTTTCGAAAAAAAAATAAAAATTTTTTTGTTAAAGATGAAATGTATTTTTTATCGATGATTCCTGGTACTATTTTGTCCGTTCAATCAAAGAGAGCTTTCATTCAGTATTACGACTTCCTGTTAGTTGGTTCGATGTCTTCCCATGTCCTATTTTGTCCGTTCAATCAAAGAGAGCCTTCATTCAGTATTACGACTTCCTGTTAGTTGGTTCGATGTCTTCCCATGTACTATTTTGTCCGTTCAATCAAAGAGAGCTTTCATTCAGTATTACGACTTCCTGTTAGTTGGTTCGATGTCTTCCCATGTACTATTTTGTCCGTTCAATCAAAGAGAGCTTTCATTCAGTATTACGACTTCCTGTTAGTTGGTTCGCTGTCTTCCCATGTCCTATTTTGTCCGTTCAATCAAAGAGAGCTTTCATTCAGTATTACGACTTCCTGTTAGTTGGTTCGATGTCTTCCCATGGAGTTAAATCAAAATATAGTTTCCATTGTTAATTCAAACTTCTTGATGTTTGATTCAATATTTTCTACAGGAAAAAAATATAATAGCTGTCATTGTTGAATGTCGTTTGTTTTTTGTTGATTTGGCGTCCTTCCATAGTAATACAAAAAGATACTTAAGGTTGACGTATTAACGTTTTTACCTTGAAAGTAAACAAGCTAAAAGTTTGTTAATAAAACACAAATATATGAAAGGAATACATTAAAATATATTTAGTTAATATTTTTTATAGTTTTTGTTGTTCAAGAAGTAACGTTGAAGTTACAGTTGTTTTTCGTATAGTAACATTAAACTTACTACACTGAAATTGCATATTTCTTTGGCAAAGACTAAATAAAAGCTGATGTAAACTAAATATATTAAAAAACGTATACAGATTTTACGGAAGCTGTTTTTAGTTTGAGCTGGGCAACATTCTTTTTGTATATATAACCAATATAAACCTCAACATCATCTACTCATTATATCTAATTCTCGTATTAAGATTTGTCTCTGCTGCTTCTATTCCTAAACCCACACTGTGAGAGCAAATCATTGTTGACAAATAAAACCCCATCTGAGAAGTATCGAATGAAAAGTTTTTTTGTTTTACAATTTTTGCGCAACGTTACACAAGGGCTATCTGTGCACAACCGTTTTTTGCGCAACGTTACACAAGGGCTATCTGAGCACAACCGACTCTGATTTGGAACTTATAGACTAGAGAAAAGGCAGCTAGTAAACTGTACCCACCGTCAACTATTGGGCTACTTTAATCGAATAAGATAGTATTTGGCTGTCACTCTTATAACGCAACCAAGACCCCAAAATGCGAAGCGCTTTTTGCGTTACCAGAACATGTTTCTTTGTTTGTCTATTGAATTTCGCGCAAAGCTACTAGAGAGCTATCTGCGCTAGTCGTCCCTAATTTTGAAGTGATAGACTATAGAAATGGCAGCTAATTAACACCATCCAGAGCCACCTCTTGGGGTACTTTGCCAATGAATAAGGAGATTGACCGTCACATTATAGTACCCTCGCGTCTAAAAAGGTCGAACATTTTCGGTGATGGGACTCGAACCTGCAATTCACACGTTGCGAGCTGAGCTCCCTAACTACCAAACCATACCAGGCCCTAAAGAGACAAGAATCGCGAATCTACAGAAACACAGCCCGTGTACGCTAACCATTGGACCACTCTCAGCCTCTAGGAAAAGCTAACTTCATGCAAGTTTTGGGCAATTAAATGTTCAGTTTCAGGATGGTGATAGAGAATATACCTGCGCATAACGAATTTTCACATATCAAGTAGTAACCTCACAAAAGACAAACTTTAAAATAAATTCTATTGATCAAGATTAATAAGAGCCTCATAACGGATCGAATCAACCATTATTATAGCTGGATTTTTTCAGTATGGATGAAGCAAAGTAAACATAAATAACTTGTTTATCATGTCTAAATCGCAAATAATAAAGATTTGTTTTGAATTTCGCGCAAAGCTACACGAGGGCTATCTGCACTAGCCGTCCCTAATTTAGCAGTGAAAGATTAAAAAAAAGGCAGCTAGTCATCACCACCCACTGCCAACTCGTGGGCTACTCTTTTACCAACGAATAGTGGGATTGACCGTCACATTTTAACGCCCCCACGGCTGACAGAGCGAGCATGTTCGGTGGGACGGGAATTCGAACCCGCGACACTCAGATTGCGAGTCAAGCACCCTAACCACCTGGCCATGCCGGGCCTAATAATAAAGGTTTAGTTTTTCAAGAATCAACAATGCTACATAATTGTTACACATAGTTACACATTGTTGTCCCTAATTTTGAACTGAGACTAGATGGAAGGCAATAGCCAATAGCCAATAGTCTAGTCAACAGCACTCACAGTCAACTCTTGGGCTATACTTGTCTGATCAAATTGTTGAATTTGAGCGTCGCTCTTATAACGCACTCATTGCCCTAAGGTATAGAGTTTTTTTGTTTTTTTTCAGCAACGAGCTACGAAACACGAATCCTTGGATTCATAGTCTGATTACGAAAACCATTAAACTCACGTCCAACAAGGCCAGGTGGTTAGGACGCTCGAC